ATTATTACACACACTGATCAAAATGATGTTACAGCATAATCGACACGGATTCTGTGCTATCTGTGGTGGATGAATATATTAATTGGTAAAAGTAAAAATGTTTGAAGTGCATCTGCAGTAGATAGAGGATATTCTCCTATTCTTTACATACAAGTAGCTGCATCTATTCTCCGTCATTTTGATTTAATTAATAATGTTGTACTTTTGATATTTATCTACTCTGATTTATATTTCGAAAATACATCGTGCTTTCAAAACTTTTATTTTTTTTTAAATATTTTGGTTGGGTATTATGTTGAATAACTTTGTAGCGATTGCAATTCTTCGTTCAGATCATTATCTTCTTCTTCAATGTTTAATAGCCTCAGCGAAACAGACTTGATCTTTCCTTGCTGTTCACAGATTCAATAGCGTGTGATAACGGTAGTCCCGCCGAGTTGAGTAATTTCCGTGTAAGTGTAGGCGTGTGTATAAGTGTCATTGTAAATATGAGTTGTAAGTGTATAGTATATGTAATATTTCCAAAAAAAAGTAATGCGTAACTTTGCATGTATGTTTCTTTGCGCCCGTATTGGACGCGAACTTCGTTCAGATCTTCAAGATGAGTTAATGGAAGATATGTCTTGGAAGATATCATTGGATAAACGTTCTCGACATTACTCGAGATGATTCGTAGTTCCTCTACGAATTGTATCCGATATGTTTTGTTTTCACATTCGATATTCCATTCGTTCATGTAGAAAAAAGTCAGTATGTTATTTCGTGGAAGTCGAACTACGTACGTGACAACTCATAATTGAGCCTCTCATAATTAATTATTAAATACGATTTTTGTTAATAGTAGATTGCAATTGGTACAACGCCAAGGATTCTGGCAGACTGGATTAGACAGTATTATTTAAATTTATACTTGATGCCAGAGTTACAGCTGCACGTTACATGAACACAGTTTTCTTGTAAATTAGATATTTAATCACATATTTTTGAAGATTTAATGTTTCTCTTAATATTTGGAATATTTGCATGATTGTATACATTTTAAATGTTTAATAATTTAATTTTTAAAAATTATTTATGCAACTATGCATTGCGAAAGTGTTTCTTAAATTTTTCGACAATTATAAATAATTATAAACACCTTAAAAAATAAAATTTAGAAAATTTTGTCGTTAATTAGAACAGTGCACCTAATGGAAGAAATAAAACAACATTGCAGTACGTATACAATATTCACATATTAATTATACTTATCGGATTCAATGAAATAGTTTAATTTTTAGCGATAGACTAACACTTTATATACGCTGCACTTTAGATACTTCAAAGAACAAACATTATAATCTGCATTCGTATTTAGACATTGTAATTACCTTTATCGGCGATGCTAAAAAACATTCGCGTCGTTGTTTCTTCAAATGGTACCATACTGATTGATATAGAAAAGATGCTCGACTTAACGTGTAGAGCATCAAAATGATTATTCCAGTAACGCTCTTACCTGAATCGTGTGTGGAAGTCATGCAGCGATATTTTGAACATAAATAATTTTAAATAATAATCTTTAAGGTTGCCAGTAATAATTAATAAAAAACCACTCCTCAATGTTTAAAGTCGACCAGACTGGCAATAATTTATTATAAATAATTATCTGAAATACAACAACGTTTCGGCTGTCATTGCAGCCCTTTTCAAGTACATCTATAAAAAGTTCCATCAAAATAATTATAATTTAATACACTTATCGCAACAATTAATTATACATTTAAAAACAAAAATGTGTTACATACCAAATTTAAAACAGTAAATCAACTTCTATGCAAACTACCGACAAGTTAACGCTTGTTTTGATGAACAATGCAAGACTGACAGAAGTAAGCATATATTAAATAGATGTTAACTGTTCGCAAGAATCTTAGTCACTAAGCGTTAAGAAGTTCTTGACGTTATTTAAGTCGTTTTATATTTATTTTTACTTTTAATTTTATTTTTATTTTATATCCACCTATTTATTTATTTTTATTTATTTGACTTTATTATGACGATTTAAATTACGAAAGACACATTTAGTTTCGTCTCTATCTTCTTAACGCTTAGTGACTAAGATTCTTGCGAACAGTTAACATCTATTTAATATGTGCTTACTTCTGTCAGTCTTGCATTGTTCATCAAAACAAGCGTTAACATTGTCGGTAGTTTGCATAGAAGTTGATTTACTGTTTTAAATTTGGTATGTAACACATTTTTGTTTTTAAATGTATAATTAATTGTTGCAAATAAGTGTATTAAATTATAATTATTTTGATGGAACTTTTTATAGATTACTTGAAAAGGGCTGCAATGACAGCCGAAACGTTGTTGTATTTCAAATAATTATTTATAATAAATTATGCCAGTCTGGTCGACTTTAAACATTGAGGAGTGGTTTTTATTTATAAATAATTTTTATTTATTATATACGCATATAAATGATTCTTACTTTGACCGTAAACGTACATACGTGGAAGTTTTTCCGTGCCTATTCCGCTTTTCCTAGATTTATTTCGAAAGTTTATTTTATGTATCAATTAATTAAATCAAAATTCATATATTTCCAACAAAAATTAAGCTACGATCTTTTATACTGCTAAAAGCTTAATTGATTACGATGCACAACTGAGAAACGCATTTAGAGAAAAGATAACACGGTACAAATTAATAAAATGATAAAGTCAATTTGGTTTAGAGAAGTATCTCTAACCATTTAATAAATATGTATAAACATTTCCAAATATGTTACTCAAAAATTGGATTGTTTTTTGTATATTTGTTATTTGATACATATATTTAATAACTATAATTATTATGTTATTATCTATTAATGAATAAAGACATAATTTGCGCACTAAATATCGAAATTTGTTATTGATACATATATTTAGTAACTATAATTATTATTTTATTATCTATTTATGAATAAAGACATAATTTGCGCACTGAAATATCGAAATTTGTTATTGATACATATATTTAATAACTATAATTATTATTTCAATATTTATTAATGAATAAAAACATAATTTGCGCACTGAAATATCGCATGTCATGGTAACCCGAAAAGAACAGAAATGTCAAAATGATGTCAAATTCATGTCAAAATATTGTCAAATTCTAGTTTGTCAAAATGACATCAAATTGTATAAAATTTTGATGATATTTTGATGTTCACAATAATAAAAAATCATTAGTTTGTATTAAAAATAATTGAGATGCAACTTTAAAAAGTGAGCCGATTAAAATAACATTTTAGTCAACAATTTAATTTTTAATACAATAACTCAACTCTTCTGCGAATTACAATGATATGTGAATATGAAAAACATTATCTTTAATTATCTTCATAATAATAAGCATTGTATATACACAGAGGAGAAACGTTAGTCACATTTTTTAAAAATCAAACAGGTAATAAGAGTCAATATTAAAAGTCATTTCTTAGTCATCTTCCAAATCGAGATTTCCATGACCAAAAAATGACATAAATTTAATCAATATGACGTCAAATTGGCATTATTTTGACTTTTCTGTTCTTCTTGGGAAGTTTTATAATACAAAGAAACTACACACAAAAGAGTGAAATAAACTTAGCATTAATATAAAAGAATGAATACATATTTTTAGTATTACCTAAAATGTCAATTTTCTACAACGCTAATACATGTCTAGCGGTTTTATGTATTATATTAAAATAATAAAATCACGTTCTTTTTTATAATAGCTGCGTTGTTCAATTATTGAAAGAATTGTCGTAATTAAATCTTCCGTCATTTGCATATTATTAGAACAAAAATATTACAACAAAATAATAATGTATATTACAAAATCACTCATTTAGTAACCAATTTTACATAGAAAATTAAAGTTTAACGGATAATATGAAATATAAATTAAAAATTTCTTTTATGCGAGAATTATATTCGTAAATTATAATTATTAAATTTATAATGTTAATAATTAAATTGTTTAATTATTGGTTGTCAGAAAGTAATAATTATAATTATGTCGTATGTGTACGTTTGTACATACCCAGATAGCCACAGTAATTATTATGACATCAAAATGATGTCATAATATTGGGTATGTATGTGTACGTCTGCACATGTATCTGTACGTACAATTGTCTAATTAATACGATATATAATTGTTAATAATACCAATTTATATACATAAACGATAGTGTAATTTCATTTTCAATAATCATTAATATTGCATGAATTATAAATCAATAATTACTAATTAACAGATTAATTATTGATACAACAACAAAATAATGATTAATAATATAATAATTACATTATAATAACTTAATGTTATTAAAGATTATCTTTATCTAAAACAGAGAAAACAAGTTAATAATGTTATTAATGTTGATTTATGAGCGAGCAAAATTTTCTATGTGACAAAATTTTATTGTATAATTTTACGTTTCTATATTTAAAATTATCTTCTTTATGTATCTCATAATTAACGATATCCTATATTTAAAGTATGTTATTTAAATATATATAGATATATATTTAAACAAATCATATTTAAATTGCAGGATAGACGTTAATGAAATACATTCAAAAATAAAAAAGACGATTTTAAGTATTGAAAAGTAAAAATTGTAGACATATATAGTTATATTTATATATAAATAAATATAAATTTATATATAAATATAAATTTTAAATATATATATATATATATATATATATATATATATATGTTTGTTTATCTACATCCATATATTTCTGAAGTTGCATTATGCGATTACATTAAATTATTAGTTAAAGAATAATTTTTGATTTTTACTTATTGAAGAAGATTTAAATTAATCGGAATTCATTTCAAATCAAACTGGTCTTTTACATTTAAATATGGCTTGGATTTGATAGAATCGAGTAGGTGAATTTCGAAATTTTTATCATGTTGGAAATTTTGTTGCACCAAAATTTAAACGGTTTTATTTGGCGATATTTTCTTCGTTTTGACATTTGTATCTGTACCATTGGTTGAGCTTACTGAAATCCGTGTCGCAATTTTACATTTCAATTTCCTGTCATATTGGTGCTGTGCAAAATGCTTTAGCGATGTATACTTTGCTGTTGAACTTCTTCGCCTTCGACCAACTCGATTCTACTTGTCAATGCTTGCGGCTTTTGCGCGTCAATTTTAAGATTAGAGACTTGAAATATTCTTTATTAGAAGTTCGAAATCTTCATATTTATATCGGATGAAGAGGAGTATTGCAAGAGGCCCGAAACAGATCCAAAAGATTCGTCGCCTTCTTGTTGTGCTACATAAATATCCTGTCTGGAGCTGTCATCGCGCTGCTGATTAACCTTGGATTGTTCAATAGGTTCAACGTCTTCAATTTTGTTCTTCTCAATCTGGTGTGCAGTCCAGTATAAAATCAAGATGTTGAGATAAGTCTTCGTCACGGCCAGGCAGGATCGAGTTCCTCTTCTTTTTTAATTATCACATTGTTACGTTCCTCTTCTCCTTCAATTATCATTTAGAACCGGAATCCATCTGTCTGGAAGGACCGGCATCTCCGTCTCGCATTTCCTTTTCTTTCTTATGCTCTTTCTCTTCGTGCTGTGAAAGCAAGCGTAAATCCGCAAAAGATTTCGTGCAAAAATCACATTTCCATCGACCAACAGTGTGCGACGAACGCGTATGTGCACTGAAATGGGATTTACAAATAAATGTTAGATCGCAATTGTAGCAAGGATAACTCTGATTAAATTTGTGGACCTCTAAATGATTATGAAGCACGTCCAAAGAACAGAATAGTCTTAATCTGAGATGGCATACTTACTTGTCCGGTTGTCCAGTTAGATCGGAATCCATTTGTCTGGAGGAATCGACACTTTCAGCTTGCATATTATCTCCAGTTGAACCTGAATCCATTTGTCTGGAGGGATCGGCACCTTTCTCTTGCTCATTATCTAAAAAAATTATTATTTTGTATTAAAAATAATAGAGATGCAACTTTAAGAAGTGAGCTGCTTTAAATAATGTTTTAATCAACAATTTAATTTTAAAAAGTTACTCAACTCTTCTGTGAACTACAATAATATCTGAATATAAAAAACGATAACCTTAAATTATATTCATAATAATATGCATTGCATCTACACAGTCGAAAAACGTACGTCACATTTTCTAAAATTTAAACAGGTAAGGAAGCCAGTATAAAAAGTCATTTTTTAGTCATTTTCGAGATCGAGATTTTTATGACTAAAAAAATGACATAAATATAGTCAATATGACATAAAATTGATGTCATTTTGACTTTTTGTTCTTCTTGGGAAGTTTTATAACACAAAGGAATTACACACAAATAAAAGTAAAAAAAACTTAGCATTAATATAAAAGAATGAATACATATTTTTAGTATTACCTAAAATGTCAATCTTCTACAACGCTAATACATGTCTAGCGGTTTCATGTTTTATATTAAAATAATAAAATCACGTTCTTTTTTATAATAGCTGCGCTGTTCAATTATTTAAAGAATTGTCGTTGTAATTAAATCTTCCGTCATTTGCATATTATTAGAACAAGAATATAAATTAATGTATATATTACAAAAACCACTCAATTTGTAGCCAATTTTACACAAAAAATTAAAGTTGCCGAGACAAACCTTTCGTGACCGTGTCAGAGTTGTCGCCTCCGGACCTTTTCTTACGACTCAACCAGTACTCCTGTACCTTTTTTCTTTTAAATTCGCGTTTGAGATTTCTTTGCTTACGCTTCAACTCGTACTTTTGTTTTTCTAAAATAATATTTTAATTAACAATATAATTTTTAATAAACTGAAAAAAAAATGTTGTTGATTTAATGAACGTCGACGTCACGGGCTGCCACAAACATATTTTTGTTTAAACATTTGCAGTATAAACAAAAGCATGACATCTTGATTTGATTAATTATGTCATTGAATTAACAAATTATTGATAAATCAACTGCATATGTTTGTGGCAGCCCGTGACGTCGACGTTCAATGAATCAACAACATTTTTTTCTGTGTACGATCACTCAACTTTTCTGCGAACTACAATAATATCTGAATATGAAAAACGGAAATCTTTAATTATCTTCTAAAAATTAAACAAGTAAAATGTTAGTATAAAAAGTCATTCTTAGTCAATATGACGTAAAATTGACATTATTTTGACTTTTTTGTTTTTCTTGCGAAGTTTTATAATACAAAAGAATTACACACAAATAAAAGAAAAGAAACTTAGCATTAATATAAAAGAATGAATACATATTTTTCGTATTGTCTAACATGTCAATTTTCTACAATGCTAATACATGTCTAGCGGTTTTATGTTTTATAATAAAATCATGTTCTCTTTCTATAATCTTTGCGCTGTTCAATTATTTAAAGAATTGTCGTTGTAATTAAATATTCCGTCATTTGCGTATTATTAGAACAAGAATATATAATAGAATATATATTACAATAACCACTCATTTTGTAATCAATTTTACACAGAAAATTAAAGTTGCCGAGACAAACCTTCCGAGTCCGCGTCAGAGTTGTCCCATTCGAGCCTCTTTCTCTTACCCTCTGACCCGCAATCCTGTTTCGGTTTAGAAGCTTCTTTGCCATTATTATGAAATGTCCTTTTGTGCCTTTTAAGGCTGGATGAATTCGCAAAAAATTTCCCGCATTTATCACACATGTAACGCTTATTATCTAAAAAAATTATTATTTTGTATTAAAAATAATAAAAATGCAAATTTAAGAAGTAAGCTGCTTTAAATAATATTTTAATCAACAATTTAATTTTTAAAAAATTACTCAACTCTTCTGCGAACTACAATAATATATCTGAATATAAAAAACGATAACCTTAAATTATATTCATAATAATATGCATTGCATTTACACAGTCGAGAAACGTACGTCACATTTTCTAAAATTTAAACAGGTAAGGAAGCCAGTATAAAAAGTCATTTTTTAGTCATCTTCGAGATCGAAATTTTTATGACTAAAAAATGACATAAATATAGTCAATATGACATAAAATTGATATCATTTTGACTGTTTTGTTCTTCTTGGAAAGTTTTATAATATAAGGAATTACACCCAAATAAAGTGAAAAAACTTAGCAATGATATAAAAAAATAAATACATATTTTTAGTATTGTCTAACATGTCAATTTTCTACAATGCTAATATATGTCTAGCGGTTTTATGTTTTATAATAAAATCATGTTCTCTTCCTATAATCGCTGCGCTGTTCAATTATTTAAAGAATTGACGTTGTAATTAAATCTTTCGTCATTTGCATATTATTAGAACAAGAATATATAATAATGTACATATTACAAAAACCACTCATTTTGTAGCCAATTTTACACAGAATATTAAAGTTGCTGAGACAAACCTTTCGTGTCCGCGTCAGAGATTTTGGATCCGAGCTTCTTCTTCTTACGCTTTAACTTCTTTTTAAGGATTCGCGTTCGAGATTCCTTTGCTTACGTTTCAACTCGTACTTCTGTTCCTCCGTTGTTACGGATTTTTTGCGTACACTATGGTGTTTTTTTTGCCATTCAAAGTCGAAAAAATCATAATAAGTTGAATTGCATATATCACACTTGAAACGATAAAATTACGTGTCGAACGCGTATGTGCATTGAAATGGGATTTACAAATGAATATTATAGGTCGCAATAGTTGCAAGATAATTCATGTGGACTTTTAAATGATTATGAAGCACGTCCAAAGAACAGAATAGTCTAAACCAGAGATTGCATACATACTTGTCCGGCTGTTCAGTTGGATCGGAATCCATTTGTCTGGAGGGACCGACACTTTCGTCTTGCATATTATCTCCAATTGAACCGGAAGCCATTTGTCTGGAGGGACCGGGACGTTCCTCTTGCTTATCATCTAAAAAAATTATTATTTTGTATTAACAATAATTGAGATACAACTTTAAAAAGTGAGCTGCTTAAAATAATATATTAGTCAACAATATAATTTTTAATAAACTGAGAAAAAAATGTTGATTCAATAAACGTCGACGTCACGGCTGCCAGAAACACATTTTTGTTTAAACATATGCAGAATAAATAAATGCATGATAATCTCGATTTGATTAATTATGTCATTGAATTAAAATAATACGGATGAATCAACTGGCATATTTTTGTGGCAGCCCGTGACGTCGACGTTCAATTGAATCAACATTTTTTCTCTATGTACAATCACTCAACTTTTCTGCGAATTACAATGATATCTGAATATGAAAAACGTTAATCTTTAATTATCTTCATAAGCATTGTATCTACACAATCGAGAAACGTATGTCACATTTTCTATAACTTAAACAGGTAAGAAGTCAGTATAAAAAGTCATTTTTAGTAAATATGACGTAAAATTGACATTATTTTGACTTTTCTGTTCTTCTTGAGAAGTTTTATAATACAAAGGAACTACACACAAATAAAAGTAAAGAAACTTAGCATTAATATCAAAAAATGAATAGATATTTTAATATTGTCTTAAATGTCAATTTTCTACAATGCTAATACATGTCTAGCGGTTTTATGTTTTATAATAAAATCATGTTCTTTTTTTATAATCTTTGCGCTGTTCAATTATTTAAAGAATTGTCGTTGTAATTAAATATTCCGTCATTTGCGTATTATTAGGACAAGAATATATAATAGAGTATATATTACAATAACCACTCATTTTGTAATCAATTTTACACGGAAAATTAAAGTTGCCGAGACAAACCTTCCGAGTCCGCGTCAGAGTTGTCCCATTCGTGCCTCTTTCTCTTACCCTCTGACCCGCAATCCTGTTTCGGTTTAGAAGCTTTCTTGCCATCATAATGACACATTTTTTTTGTGTGTTCAAGAAATTTTAAATTCACAAAAACTTTGTCGCATTTATTACACTTTAAACAAACATTCTTGTGATACTTTTTTACATGTTCATGCATATCCCACTCAGAAATGAATTTTAAGTTGCAATGGCAGCAAGGATAATTATATCCGGTGTCGTGTAACTCTAAATGATCGGAATAGTAGATCTCAGAAGTGAATGTCCGTAAACAGAAATGGCATGTATACGTTTCCGGCTGTCCAGTTGGATCGGAATCCATTTGTCTGGAGGGACCGGCACCTCCGTCTTGCATATCTTCGTCCTGCTTGTGACTTTCTTTTTTACCAACAAATTTATTTTGAGAATAGTATTTATAAATTTATTTGATTACTGTGTATTTCGGCGAGTATATTGCAACACTCTAGCGCAATTATGGTCAGTTGTTTAATCGTTGTTAACCTGAAATCTAAAATTAAAAAGTAAGATACAATTATATATGTATTATTGAACAATCTTTTTAATGCAAAGCTTCATTACAACAATGTAATGTACGACGTTGTATCAATTATTATTAAATAATAAATATTATACAAATTGAACATAAAATAAGATGATATGCTATCAAAGACAAACATTCATATTGTCATAATATTAAATTTACTGTTTATTTTCGTTATTTGATAAATTTTTTTCATATACAATTATACATTTAGAATAAATTTTTATGAATAATATTATCATTTACATTAGAAATAATTTTTTAAAGATATATGTGTTATGTTTTATAAAAACAATTATATTGTAAAAATGTATTTTATATTTATTAGGAAAAAAAATTTTGATGAATTAATATAAAATTTGCTGGTACGTAACTTTAAAATCAACAAAACCTCGCAACTTATTTTTCATTATTTCTTATAATAAGAAGACTATTAAAATGCCAATTAATTAAATTTTAAATAATTGTAATCGAGAAAGAGGAAATTAATGCCAAATGATATAAATATAAAAGTAAACTTTTTGATTCTATATATCAATTGCTGAGTTAAAAATTATGATTCATATATTAGTAGAAAAAAAAAGAAACAAAAATAGTGATACAAAAATCATTTGTTTCAGAACAGACACAGATGAATGTTATAAGCAAAAATTATTAAATAAATAAAAGACCAATTTACAAAATAATTGTTATCACGTAGAAATTAGTGATGAATCAATATCAAATTAATTTGAACGTTAGCTTAGTAAGGCCTGTCAACGTTAAAAATACTAAATAATTCGATTAATTTAGAGATACATATTTATATTAATGTAGTGGAAAACGGGACAGAAAAACAAATAAATCGTCAAACTAGTCATGTTTGAGAACTCAAAAAACATAATTTTAATGATTTATGTGATAGAAATAAGTATTTAAGTAGTAAAGTACATATATGTTCTACTTTCTCTAAATACGAAGTTAAAATTCTTAAAGGAATTCTTCTTTTGTTGAAAAATGTGTCGTAAAACGTTTTTATTAACCGAGCTCCTTTAATGTATTATTTACAATATAATAAATATCATGAAATTAATGGAAAACATTATGTATTATGTAAAAATTTTCTTTCTAATATAAAAATTTCAGTTTATCGATCTGAGTCTCTTTATGAAAAAAAAGGAATTTTTAATTGTTGTATTTATAAAAAAGAAATAAACTAATATCTATTTATTATAAAAAATAATAAAAAGCAAAAAATGACGAAAACCGTTTTTAATGATGTATCTCTACTCATGTGCTTTATTATTTGAAATTTATATCTATTAAAAGACTCATTTATAAACAAATAAATACAGGCGTAGAGAAATAGAAATCAAATTCTTAATTTATGATTTTTAATACACTAATATATTATAATTACTGATTTTTATATCACTAGAAATTCTTTATATATATATTTATGACTACCACATGACAATGCAAGATATACTTCAAAACAATTAAACCTCGAAGATATGAAAATGTGTTTGACCTATTTGTTTGTTATATTTTTCTATATAATTTTTAAAATATTTTTTTGAAGAATTTACGGTTATTCCTTGATCAGTATTTACTATTTTTATTTAATAAATTATTCAGCGATATTTGATATTGTCAATTTTCAAAGATTATAAAATATTAAACAGAATATTGTCGCATTATATGTATTTTTTCTTGATAAAATAAGACAAAGTGTACTTTTTACTTTATTGTTTTAATCAAAATTGTGGAAAGGTTTTAAAAATATTACAATATATTAATATAGCAAAAATATATGTCATACAATAATTCCACATAATTTATCTTCTTACAGGATTCTTATTAATCTGTGTCTTATTTGTACGTACCTGCTGATTTTTTGTTCGTATAACTCGTTTAACTCTAGATTTTCCTTGTTCCCTCTTTGACTTAAGAATTTATTCGAATGTGTGTTTAGATTTGCTCTTTTGAATCAGAAATGTGCACAGATACTTATTGTTAAAATAATCGTGACAAGAATTTATTTTGTAATTCCTATTAATCTCGTTTCTTTTTACCGGAACGACGTTAAGCGTGTATGTATAATCGCCTTTGACTTTACTAATACGAACTTTACTGGTCTGTACTGTGTATAAATTTAATATATGTCTATCGGGACGTATTCCCAAATAAATATTAAATACTGTTTATATATATATGTGTGTGTTTTCATGAGAGTTACTTCGCAGCAGAGGGCCAGTTTATAAATTTGAATGTTTTATGATTAGCCAGCAATAATTATATCTCTCTATCAGAAGGAGAGATTATAAAAATTGTTCTTACGTTGAAATTGCTTGTCAGAATTAATCATACAATATCAGTTTAATTCATAATTAATATAAAACGATAGTTGCTATATAGTCGGTAATGAAAGATGCACATTTTAACGCGCATAGAACTCGAAATACGACAATATTTTCAGTCCCTGCTCTTATCTGAATTGTAAGCGTAAATCATGAGTAAGATTGTATTTTGAACAAAAATATTATTGAGATTTGTCGTGCACGCGTAGAAAATTGTTTCTTTGTCGGAAACTTTCGAATATATGTATATATTGCACATATGGATATTTTTTTTATTAAATTGAATAAACGTTGTAATGTATAATGATCTAATTATTTCATATTTTATACAATCACAAATTTTCCAGAGAAAAGATCATGATAACAAATGACAAAATATCATAATCGATTTATAATACGATATAAAAGTAACCAAAAATATTTTATTTCAATATCTAGATAGTACATTATCTGCAGATTAATTTTACATCAAAACATACCAACTTACATATTCTTCCGTTTAATATACATAATAACAAAAAGTGTCGTCTACGAAAACATAACGTCGACTATTAAAACTTTAAATCAGGCAAAAATACATTGTTTATATATATTTTAATAATGCAAAAATTAAAAAACATGACAAAATGTAAGTTATAGCAGTAAATTATATGATTATAAGAAATATTTAATTATGGCCGCAAGTGATTAAACATAATAAAATAACAGCGCGTATTATAATAATTCGATATACATTAATGAAATTGTCATAGGTTTTGAAAATAAGAAAGACTAAAAGAATCATATATACTAAAGTTTTATTATCTAAATGAAAACTTCAAAATTTCCAAAATTATTATCTTTTTTGGTACTAAAACTTATAAGATAAGAGAACGCGTCCAAAAATATGGGAAGAACATGGGAGATAAATCAATAATTATCTGTTATAATAAACATGTTTAAGAAGAGTGTCATATCTAATAGCATGTAAATCACGACAGTAAAGTATAAAAAATTAGATAAACCTGAATAGAAAATGGAACAACGCGTTTAAAAATAATTCTGCTGTTACTACTCAGAAAATTTTTGCATGGATATATTAATAAATACAACTGTTATAATTTATTTTAAAATTCTAATTAATATCACACACTGATCAATAATGTTACAGCAATCGAAATGGATTCTGGCTATCTGTGGTGGACGAATATATTAATTGGTGATAGTAGAAACTATTCAAG